GGTGGCAGTGGTGGCGGCGGAGGTGGTGGTGGCGGTGGCGGCGGCCCCGTCCGCCTCCGCAGCACGAGCCGCAAGGACTCCATCTCAGAGGATGAGATGGTGCTGCGGGAGCGAAGCTACGACTACCAGTTTCGCTACTGTGGCCACTGCAACACCACCACGGATATCAAGGAGGCCAACTTCTTTGGCAGGTCCGAGGCCCTGAAGAGGAGGGGGGCACAGCCCAGTTGGCAGCAGGAGGTTGGAAGGGGAGGTGTGGGGACATAATGCTTTCAGGAAAGAGTCTCAAACCCCAGCCCTTGGGCAAGTGGCTTCACTTCTGTGGGCCTCAGTTTCTTCATCTGTAAAATGAAACCAGCCCATCCTACTAAGGGGCCATAACAAGGACTGAGAGGTAATCCAGAAAGCATCCAGCGCAGCGCCTGAACTCCCCCTTACCCCCCACCTCTTGCTCCCTTTATCTCCATGTGCTGGAGCTTGGTTTCTTTATCTGGATTCCTGGAGCCTTCCTCTGCTGGGGGCATGAGGCAAGAGCCCTGAGAGGCTGGCAATCTTATGTTCCTAGAACTGTGCCCCCAGTACTGAGGGTCATGGCCCATGTCTCAGACACCACTGCCCCCAATCCTCCTTTGCAGATGATGTGCTTGCTTTGGATAGATTAGGTACATGACTGTGAATCAAGAATCTCCCTCAAGATCCCTTCTAAATGTCAGTGGTGTGTGAGGGGCAGATGTGCTGTAGGATTTTGGGGTCTGGATCCAGGAAAGCTAGGACTTCTGAGGAAAGCCTCAGGCAAGAGTGTTCTCAAGAGTTTTCCCAGAGACCTAAGAGATGCAAGATCCTGGTACCCAAGGACCTTATAAAGTAGTTTTGGGGGAGAGTAAGTTGGGTGGACCCAAGCAGTCCCTGACACTGAGGTTAAGGGAACACTTGAGCAGTGACAGGGCTCTGCAGTGTGGAGAGAATGGCCATGTACATGGGAGCTCTGAGTCAGGGGAAGGCCTCAGAGTTCGGGGGGCTGATGGGCTCCAAACGTTCCTGCTCCCCCTTTCCCTGAGCCGCACAGCCTCTACTTGAGGCTGTAGGGCAGTACCCCACCTGACCTCCCTGCCCTTTGCCCCCCGCCAGCAACGCTCAGTACATCGTCAGTGGCTCTGACGATGGCTCCTTCTTCATCTGGGAAAAGGAGACCACCAACCTGGTCCGCGTGCTCCAGGGGGACGAGTCCATCGTCAACTGCCTGCAGCCACACCCCAGCTACTGCTTCCTGGCCACCAGCGGCATTGACCCTGTTGTGCGGCTATGGAACCCCCGGCCAGAGGTGAGGGTGTGGACAGGTGGCAGAAGCTAGACAGGAAGGAGGGTAGGGATGGTCCCTGCAGCTGAGCCTGTGAGGGTTGAAGAGGTCACCTGAGTTATGCAGAGGCCAGAGGCTGCTAGAATGAGTGAGCTCTTACCCCAGGGCCCAAGGCTGTGTCGAGGTGGGGAGCCAGCTAGTTCTGAAAGCTCCAAATGAAGTGGGCAACTCCTGGGACACGTCCTTGAGCCAGCTGCAAAGATGAGACTCACGTACAGGGAACTAACCGCAGACTGGGTGCAGGAGGGCAGGGAGGGAACGGACCAGCTCCAACACTACCTCATGAGAACGGTACCTCAGAGGCTCCCTAGGTGCTCTGCCCCTCATAAACCACTGTGCCGTGTCCCCCAGAAGCTGTGCAGAGGCCAGTCCCTCAGTCACACGAGAAGGATGTAGGCTTTGGAGTCTAGTGGGCCTAAGTTTGAATCCTGGTCCCCTCACTCACTGCCTGAGGGACTTAACCATCTCTGACTCAGGGTTTTATCATCTGTACATTGGAACGGGAATGACAGCACCACCTCAGAAGGTTGCTTTGAGGATTAAAGAAGTGATGCCTGTGGTGTGTCCAGCCCACAGGGACACCTAGGACAGTGTAGTCCCCTCCACTTCCCCCATGGGTAGCCAGGTGGACCAGCCTGAGGCCTCCCCAGGCCTCTACCCCACCTCCCCCTCTTCCCAGCTGGCAAACAGAAGTCAAGAGGTGTATCTAATTCCAGAGGCAATTTTCTATAAATTTTAAGGAGACCCCTACAGGACCCTCCCTTGACGGGAGAGGAAAAGGAGGATAAAGGAATCCTAGTTGGCAGTGGTAGCAGACGAGTGGGGTGGGGGGAGTTGTGTCCATACCCTCACCCCAGGTGTCTAGTATGTGTGCCCAGCATATCCTGGTGTGAGTCCTCCCTCATTTACGTCCATGTACGGGCCCCCATGTATGTAACCCTGTGTGGTGTGTCCCCCATATATGTCTCCATGTGGTATGTCCTCATTTTCCCAGTGTGGGGCCTCCGATGTACACCCTGGTGTGTGTACTCCCCCTAGTAGGTATCTATCCCAGGGTGTTGTGTCCCCTCCTGGTGTGTATTACTGTGTGGGCCTCCCCAGCATGTATAACCCGTGTGGTGTGTCATCTCCCTCACACATGTCCTGGGGGGTGGGGGGGTCCCGCATACATCCCAGGATGTGTTCCCCTCCAGCCTTAAACACATGTGGATACACCCGGGTGTGTACGTGTCCCCCGATATGTACTGCTCAGCTCTGTGTGTGTGGCCTCTGCACACATATCCCATAATATGTGTGCCTTCCCCTCCAGTATGTCCTGGTGTCGTCCCCCCCCCAGAGTGAAGACCTCACAGGCCGCGTTGTGGAGGACATGGAAGGCGCGTCCCAGGCCAACCAGCGGCGCATGAACGCGGACCCACTGGAGGTGATGCTGCTCAACATGGGCTACCGGATCACGGGCCTGAGCAGTGGGGGCGCCGGGGCCTCGGACGATGAGGACAGCTCCGAGGGCCAGGTGCAGTGCCGGCCCAGCTAGAGCCTCCCGGCCTTGGCCCAGCCCCTGCTGTTGCTGGATCCTCGCCCGGGCAGGAGGTCAGGGGGTTCTGTTTTGGTTTGTCTTCCCCTTCCCTCCATTTTTTCATTTTCCCTGTTTTGTTTGTTAGTTTGGCATTGGGGTGGGGGTTGCTACAACTTGCTGGCTTTCGGACTTTTGGGCAGATTGCCCCTTGACTGGCCCCAGCCCTGAGCAGCAGAGCAGGAGGGGAAGCTCCTCCATATGCCCCCCACCTCCCACTTCCCTGTCCCTGGAGGGCACTGGCCTGTGTCAGGTGGGGAGGCAAGGGCTGAAGCTGTCTTCAAGGACTGCCCGACCCTTCAGTTGGCAGCAGGATGGGGAGTGGGATTCCCAGGGTGTCAGGGCTAGCCTTGACCACTTGCTGCGTTTGCTCCTGGCGGGCAAAGCTAGCTCTTTCGTGGTCTTCAGGGAAGGTTTTGAAACAGGATAGGGTCCCCTCCCTTCCTCCAGAGCCACTGTGTCAGGGTGGAAACAGAAGTAAGGATGTGTGCCCTGGAGCGGGCATGGCCAGGCCACTGCCTCCTTGCAGTACAGAATCCTTGCCCTCGTCCCAGGCACTGGCTCTGGGTCCTGCGCCTGCTCTCAGGGGCTCAGCCTTTCCCAAGGGCCCTGGCAGAGGGTGGGGCACCGCACCATACCCCACCCATCTGCGCCAGCCCTTCTGCACTCGCACTCGGAAGGGCCACTCTCCTCCCTCTGGCGGGCGCTCTTTGGCCTCACTGTGACCTTCCTGCCAGAGCTCCCAGCCAGGCCTACTCTCGCTGAGGTGGCACTCCCTGCTAGGGCCTTCCAGGCCCTCTCTGCCCTCCCTCCCACCCCACATGCTGAGCCGCCACAAAGACCAAAGAAGTGATGGCTTTTCTAGTCCCCTGCTGCTCTGGGGGGAGGGGGTGGGTCTCCTGAGCCACTCAGATGGGAAAGCCCCTAACTCAGCCCCCTCCCTCCTCAGCAGCCTGAGCTTTACACTGGATGCAGCAGTCACCCCACCACTCACCAAGCCTCCCTCTTTACCCCCTTGGCTCTCAGCTCAGGGGCTGCTCCCGGTAGTTGGTTCAGCCTTCCTCCCCTCTCCCTCCCCTTTCAGCGCTCACTTGGCTCCAGCCCTCCAGCTGCAGCCTCTGGAGAGAAGCGGCCTCCCTCCCTCCCTCCCTCCCTCCACCCTGTCTCTGCCAGGTGCCTCCTCTCAGTCAGGCTTCAGAGAAGCCCTGGAGACGGGAGGACCATGTTAAAAGCTTTTTCACAGTTTTAAGAAGATGAGGGGTATGAAGGGTGGTGAGGATAGTGGTGGGGGGTCTGGCACCATCTAGTCATTGCTTTAATCCCAGCAACACAGGTGGCAGCTCCTCCCCCTTCCTCTCCACCCCATCCACCCCTCTCTTCTAGCTTGGTAATGAAGTATATTTATTGGTGAAGGAAACAGCTGCTGCTGCTTCTCCTGCTGCTGGGACTTGCTCCCCATCTCTTCTCCAAGACCTTTCTCCAGCCGGGAGGGGAGAGCGGGAGCACTGGGGCTGGGCCCTGGGGCCCAAGGACCAGCAGGGGCCCCTTTGCTTTCCTGTGTTCGAGCCACGCCATTTCCTCTCTCCCTGCCTCCCACCCTCCTCCCTGCCTCCTGCCCCTGCCTGCCCAGCCTGGGCCCTGCAGTGTGGAGAGACACATAAGCCTTACTGTCCTCTGGGGGCAGGAGCCGAGCCTTTTTGTTGCTCCGCTCCCAGGAGAGTGAGGGTGACGCAATTGATTAAAACCATTTTGTTCTAGGTGTGGCTGGTGGCGTTTGTGGGATGCAAATGGGTCTTGGGATCAAAGTGAGGGTATCTCACCTCTGTGGCTCTGAGACTTTGTGTAACCACAGCTCTACCAGGTAGAATGAGGCCTCCCTTGGAGGGTCCCTGTGGACAGCAGCCACTCAGCCTAGCAGGGCCAAGGGCAGAGCCAGGCCTGGTGGCTGTGATTTGCAATAATCAGCTTTCACTCTCTGGGTTGTTTTCCCATCTGTAAAATAAGGAGATTGGAGTCTTAGTGGTTTTTCAGACTTTTAAAATCAGAACCCAAACAGGAAATAATACATTTTACTTTGAGACCCAAGATACTCTTAAGTTTATTATGTAAGAATCTTACACAATAACATTTACCCTTGGTACATGCAGTATGTTCTATTTACCATTCTATTTTATTAAGGAAGAAAAATGCTGATTATAACCCATGAAATTGATTTCACAACCCACAGTTTCTTGATGGGCCCTGGATTAGAGGAGTTCTTAGAACAGAGGTTCCGAAACTTTCTCAGCTCACTGAACCATTAGTGTCTCAGTAGTTTTTCTCAAGGACCCCCTAAGCCAAAAGAAATACCTTGTTAGTTAAGCCCAAATCACTTAAGAATTAATGTCCTACCAAAAAATACATATAAGTTAGAAGAAACTATTTTTATTTCATTCTTAAATAACTATAATAACTAATCGACTCTGAGTGCTTGTTGGGTGCTGTAAAACTTGTCAGACTTTCTAATCACATTGGACACCGCCATCCTCATTTCCTTTTCCACATGGGCTTTCATTTGCTTTGTATCACAGGAACCACTAAAAACACAGCCTCTCAAAGATGACATAATCAAAGGAATGTAGTGCAATCTATTGATGAAACTGTGAACCACCTTGAGCTAGAGGTTCACTCAGCCAACAGATGCTGAGTGTCTCTCAAATTTAAAATACCCTACTGTGCTGACTTTGCTGTGGCACCCTAAGGTGCCTTGATGCCCAGTTTGGGAACTGTAGTTCAGTACTATGGTAACAGTAGTTTCACCAGTGAAATTTTGTGATTATTCTCTTTGCACATTTGGAAAGAACCAGGCTGAGGCCAGCAGGGCATACTCAGGTTAGTACAGAAGAACAGACAGGAAAGAGATCCTATCGGAAGCACAAGAGGTGATACTATAAAGCAGGTGCTGTGGGCTGGTGTCATTCTTCCAAAAGTGAAATCTGCAGAAGCTTCTTCAAGACGTTTCCAGACCAGGCAAGGAAGGGACGATGTACTAGGTGCTGGAACAACTGGACGTCTACATGCAAAAAAAAAAAGGATCTAAACACTGACTTCACACCAGTCACAAAAATTAAAATGGATCATAGAACTAAATGTAAAAAACAAACTGATAAGATTTCTAGAAGCTAACATAGAAAACTAGGTGACCTTGGGTTTGGCAATGAGGTTTTAGATACAACATCAAAAGCACAATCCATGAAAGAAAAAATTGGTAAGTTGGGCTTCAAAAACTTACGCTCTATGAAATCGCTGTTAAGAGAATGAAAAAGACAAGCCAAGGACTGAGAGAAAATATAAAACTCTTACAACTCAACAATATGAAAACAAGCAACCCAATTAAGAAATGAGCAAAAGATCTGAATGGACACCTCACCAAGGAGTCTATTCGTGTGACTAATAAGCACATGAAAAGATGCCCAGCGTTACATCACTAGGGAATTGCAAGTTAAATCAACGTAGATACCACTCTCCAGAACTCTCATTCATTGCTGGTGAGAATTCTTCCATTTGGAAGACAGTTTGGCAGTTTCTTACAAAGATATATATAGTTTTATCATGGGATCAAGCAATTGCTCTCCCTAGTATTTACCCAAATGAGTTGTACTTACGTCCATGCAAAAACCTGTACACGAATGTTTACAGCTTTATGAATAATTGCCAAAAACTGGAAACAACCAAAAAGTCCTTCAAAAGGTGAATGGATAAACAAACCGTGGTACAGCCATACAATGGAATGTTATTCAGTGAAATGAGCAATCTCAAGCTACAAAGACATGAAGGAAACTTAAATGCATATTGCTTAGTGAAAGAAGCCAATCTGAAAGAAAAGCCTGTGATTCCAAATATTCCAACTGGAAAAGGCAAAACTGTAGACAGTGAAAAGGTCTGAGGTGCTCCAATTTTAATGTGCTTCCACAGGTGTGACCCAGCCCTGCTGAGAGACCCTGGGGCCCAGATAAGCCCACAGGGTGGATGTAGAGCAAAACAGACATTAGAATTGGAACCCCTGTGTTTGTGGTGGGTAGGTGTGACCCCAGGGGCCTGCTGCCAGTCTCTGTGCTTAGGAGCATGCTGAAATGTGGTTGCAGAACTTGAGACATCACCTAGCTCAGAGGTTCTCGGTCCTGGCTACACATCCAAACCACCCAGGTTACTTTAAAAACTACCAATGCCCCACTCCAGAGATTCTGTTTCAGCTGGTCTGAGGGGGTGGGGGAGGGGGCAAACATCCATCCATTATTTTAAAGCATCCCAGAGTCATTCTAATGTAGGGCCACAGCTGAAAACCACTGATTTAGTCCTATCTCCACATTGTACAAATAGGGACAATGAGTTCCAAAGAGGGGCAGGAAGAGGGAATGGGCTGCCTAAGGACCCCAGTGAATTAGATGCAAAACCAGGACTGGATCCCTAATCTTTGATTGCTAGTCCAAGTCTTAAAGAATCATTTAATGTCAGGATGCTTCTTGAGCTCCTGTTTGTCTGGCCCTGACTTAATGAAAATGCATACAACAGGTTAGTCCCCTCTGTCCTGGGCCCCTCCCCCCACATTATCTGGAAAATGTGGAATAGCAAATACAGGGGTCGTACACGGTCCCTGAACGTTGGATTTCACTAGAAATTGTGAGTCCTTCCCCATACGTTCTGCTGTGGAGTCTCCGGTTGCAGGCCAGGCTCCAGGACTGGCAGGGCAGGTGGGCAGGAGGAAGGCATTCTGATGGACGTGATGGCAGGCCTGAGGCACTCTGTTGTTCGACCACTTTCTGCCTCCTGCATGTGACCCATTTCTTTTTATATATATAAAACAGGTCCTGTCCTAATGAGGCTATAGTTGGCACCCTTTTTTTTTTTTGGTGATTTACAGAATCTCAGGTCTTGGCCTTATCACCCTTTAATGACACTAAAAGGGCTTACCAACAGAGATTGCCCAGGGTCCAGGTTCAAAATCCCAGCTCTGTCTAATATACGCTTAGACTTTGGGAAAGTTCCTAAACCTTTCTGGGCTCTTTTTTCTCATCAAGAAAATAAGTGCCACAGTATCTGTTCTGACTACTTCACTGCATTGTAAGGAGGCTCCAAATCATAGTGAGATTATGGTGCATCAACGTGCTTTTTAAGTGGTTAAGAGTCCTATGATGGTGAAGAGTGGGGTTTTTTTTTAACATTTTTTTATTGAGTTATAGTCATTTTACAATGTTGTGTCAACTTCCAGTTTAGAGCACAATTTTTCAGTTATACATGAACACATGTATATTCATTGTCACATTTTTTTTCACTGTGAGGAAGAGTGGTTTTAATTGCTGTAATAGCCAACATTGAGTGTTCATATTGGGCCAGGAGCTGTTCAGCTATAGCCTATCAAATAGACCTTACAATTATCCTGCAAGTATTTCCCATTTTAGGGCCAAGGTAACAGATCCCTCTACAGGTTCAGTTACTTTCCTAAGGTCTGACAACCACTGACAGAGCCAAGGGTCAACCCTGGACTTGCTGGCTGACTCCTGAGGTCACATGCTTAACCATCGTGCTTTACCGCCCTCCTGGGTGTAGCCCACTTAGATTCTGGTCCTAGCTGTGCTTTCTATAATCCTGGGTAAGTCTGCTGATCTACAAAATGGAATGGAGAAGGAAGTCATTTTGTAAACTCTGCTGTCTAAAAGGGGTCAGAGGGTCTGTTCTCAAATGGTTTCTTGCTTTGTATCAGCCCCATTGGTCCCCTCCCCACCATGGGAAGGTTTGGAGCCATCCAGGAAGACACTTTAGGGTTTAATGGGGGGAATCGGAATCGCAGACTCCAGGAGCCCGGGAAGGTAATGAATGGAGCAGAAGCAGAAAGGCTGCAGAAAGAGGACACTGAACTCACACACACACACACACACACACACACACACACTGCGTCACACCCAGCAGCTCTTCCAACTTGCGCTGTGATTGCCCCAGGCTCAGCCCTGCTTCCCTGGATTATTGATTGAGGTGATTCTTCCTCAGAGCCCTTAAGGAGACCATCTATGGTCAACAAATAGCTCTGGTGCCATACCCTGAGCACTTCCTATCTGCCAGGGGCCATGCTGACTACAGGATCCAGTGGATCCAGTCAGTCCCCTTCTCAAGGAGTTCAGGGTCTTGGGGGAAACAGACATGTAAACAGCTAATGCTAATGCAAGTACACATGAATATTCAATAGGTAGAAACAGCCTTCGTGCTCTGGGAGCAAAGAGGGAGGATTTGCTGGAAACCTTGAAAGTGGTGTAGGAGAGCAGGGAAAGGGCACTCTGCTGAAGGAACAGTGCGAGCAAAGACAGGAGGTATGAAATGCAGGGCTCATTCTCTGAAGGGCAAACAGCCCAAAGGTGTTAACTCCAATTAAGTCCTGAGGGAGACAGATGAGGGTGGAAAAGATGGTTGGGGGTTGGGGCCAGACCATGGGAGCCTTGAATGCCAGGATGAGAAGTGAAGGCTTGCGGAAAGAATATGTGAGCCCTGGGGACTTACACCTGCAGCCAATTGAAGGGGTGCCCTGCCTCCCACCAAAAGAGGACGTGCCCCAAGTTCACCCTTCAAAAAGCAGCATCTTACCCTCCAAGCTTTCCTAGCTTGATGGTTACAGATCTGCCATCCTTCCCTCCCCCAACCAGTCCTATAAGTGGATCCAGATGGTCATTCCTATTTTAGGTCGGGTTGTGTGTTGGGGGAGGGGTAGCCATGAGCTCTATGAATCCTTTC